ATAAAGTCCATGGATATAGATCCCCAGGGGCGATGAGGAATCGGAAGAGGCTGAAGCAAGCCAACAGGGGATGAGCGAGGAGTCTTATGTCTGGCACATACATCACAAGAGGACACATACTTCTTAACATCCTCATAATATTTAGGCCACCAAAAGGGTCGGGTAAGTAGTTCTTGTGTCTTTCGGATTCCTGGATGACCTGCTGGTTTAGAGTCATGGTAGAGGCGTAAAACGTCCAGTCGCACTGATTCTGGAACAAACAGGCGTTGTTGAAAAATCCAAAACCCATTAAGCATGGTCATATGAAGATCACGAGGAGGATCACGAAAAACTGGATCTTTAGAGTAGCCCTTTTTAATGCGAGACATTAGATCAGAAGGAAAGGTAACTCCTAAAAATCTGCTCTCCGGTAAGATGGTGGCCTTGGTTACTGTAGTATGGAGGGGGTCAGCTATCCTAGACAAGGCATCCGCCTTGCCATTTCTGGAACCAGGGCGGTATGAAATAAAAAATTAAACCTTGAGAAAAATAGGGACCAGCGTGCTTGTCTGGCTGACAGTCTCTTAGCGGATTGGATACATTCCAGATTTTTGTGATCTGTGAGGACAGTAATTGGATGGGTGGCTCCCTCCAAGAGATGTCTCCATTCGGTGAAGGCAGCTTTTATAGCCAAAAGTTCTTTATTCCCTATGTCATAATTTCTTTCTGCTGGTAACATCTGGTGGGAATAGAAAGCACATGGATGTAACAACATCTTAGGTCCAGTCCTTTGAGACAGTATAGCCCCAACAGCTGAATCAGAAGCATCTACCTCTACAGTAAATGGCAATTCTGGCTGAGGATGTACCAAGATAGGGGCAGATGTAATCAGAGTCTTTAATCTGGAAAATGCAGTGTCAGCCTTATTGGACCACTGAAAAGGAGTCCCTTTACGTGTAAGTTCAGTGATCGGTGTAATAACGGCAGAGAAATTCTTAATGAAACGCCTGTAAAAATTGGCAAACCCCACAAATCTCTGTATATCTTTTTCATTCTTGAGGATGGGCCAGTCCAGCACAGCTTTAATTTTACTTGCGTCCATACTTAAACCTTTAGGAGTTATTACATACCCCAGGAACTGAATTTCTGTTTGTTCAAACTCACATTTTTCCAGTTTAATGTATAGGTGGTGGGTACGAAGGCGCTCAAGAACAATGCAAACCTGTTTTCTGTGATTTTCAAGATTATCAGAAAATATCAGGATATCATCCAAATATGCCACAACAAACTGATCCAGGAGATCCCGTAGTACATCATTGATTAGATGCTGAAAAGTTGCAGGGGCATTACAAAGCCCAAATGGCATTACTAGATATTAGTAATGTCCGTACCTGGTTCTGAAAGCTGTTTTCCATTCATCATTTGGTCTTATGCGAACCAGATTATATGCCCCCCGTAGATCAAGCTTCGTAAATATTTTAGCTGAACGAAGTCTCTCCAGAAGTTCAGGAATGAGAGGCAAGGGATAATGGTTTTTAACAGTGATTTTATTAATGTCCCTGTAATCGACACATGGCCGTAGACTGCCATCTTTCTTTTCTACAAAGAATATAGGAGCTCCTGCTGGAGAAGTGGATGGTCGAATAAAGCCTTTGGCAAGATTTTCTTGTATGTATTCACGAAGTGCTTTCAATTCAGGCTCAGAAAGGGAGTATATGCGGCCAAATGGGATAGCAGCTCCAGGTAGCAGCTCTATGGGGGCAATCATAAGGCCTGTGAGGTGGAAGCTGATCAGCATTCTTCTTATCACAGACATCTGCAAAATCCCGATATTGTAGCGGAAGCTTAGTTAAGTTTGTAGCAACCATTTCATTAATTGTTGTGGTAACAGGTGTTGCCTTAGAGGGTTGACAATTCATTAAGCAGTGTTCTGAAGGAAAGGACAAAGTTCTAGTCTTCCAATCAATCTGTGGGTTATGCAGAGCAAGCCAGGGTATACCCAAAATCACTGGAAACTGTGTTGAGGAAATTAGGTGGGAAGATATAGACTCATGGTGATTCACTTCCAGAATCAATTTTAAGGGCACAGTCTCATGTGTAACCGGGCCTGACGTAAGTGGAGAACCGTCTACTGTTTCCATTAACACAGGTGAAGATTTAGGGATAGACTGAATTTTATTTCCTGCTGCGAATTTAATGTCCATAAAGTTTCCGCCTGCTCCGGAATCTATCATAGCTGTAGTTGAAATTGTATTATTACCATATTGCAAAGTGATAGGCACCACCAAATGAGGATGTTGAGTCATCATACCTTCTTCACCCTGAGCCAGAGAAAACAAGGGTTGTGTGACAGAATCCAGTTGGTCTGAAATCTGGGATTGGTGTTGAATCTGTGCACCCTCAGCAGTCATAGCTATTGTTCTTTTAGACTTGTTAGGGCTCTTGATGGCATAATGCCCTGCACTACCACAATACAGGCATAAGTTGTGAGTGCGTCGCCACTGTTTTTCTTCATTGGATAATGGCCCTCTTATTAGATCTACTTGCATAGCCTCAGGTTCAGAGTCTGTAGGTGTTTGTGGGGTCGGAGTAGAAATTCTTGAATAGAAAGTAGGAGTAGCACTTGGTTTAAAAGAGCCCTGTCTTTCTAATCTTCTTTCTGAAAGTCTCCGATCAATACGGATAGCCAACCGCACAAATGCATCAAACTCAACAGGAAGATCAACACGAGCTAGCTCATCTTTTATAGCATCTGAGAGACCCCTTCTGAAGTGGAACCTCTGGGCTGATTGGTTCCAAGTAGTATCAGTAACCCACTGTCTGAATTCAGCAGCATATTCAGCCACAGATCGCCTCCCTTGATGTAAATGAAGGAGAGTGGCTTCTGCTGTAGCACAGCGATTGGGATCATCAAAAACTAGGCACATGGCCTCTAGAAAGTCTTTTAAATTTCCCAAGATTGGACTGTCCTGTTCCAGAAAAGGGGAGCCCCAGGCCAGGGCTTCATCTTTGAAGAGGGAAAAAATAAATCCCACCTTCTCTCTTTCAGATGGAAAACGGTTAGGTAACATCATGAAATGCAAGCGGCATTGATTTAGGAAACCCCTGAATTTTTTGCGGTCTCCTCCAAATTTTTCTGGTAGAGGCAAGCGGGCATCTTGTGCAGGTGTAACAGTAGTAGTAGCAGCAGCCGCAACATCATGTGCCCTGTAGCTGGTAAGCTCACTATGCATTGATCGAACTTCATTTTGCAGTTCAGCTACCTGATCCTGCAGCACTTGAATGGTCTGTGCCTGGGTCTGCATAGTTCTTGCATTAAAAGCAACCTGCTGGGCCAATGCAGAATCTGATCCGACGGTCTCCATGAATGGGCCAGATTATTCTGTAATGATATTGATGTTACAAAGTTTTGGAGTCCAGTAGCCAGATCAGCAATGTTTTTCTGCCAGAGGTAGCCACTCGTTACCCAGGTGGTTGAGCCCCTGAGCCTTGAGTGGCCTTCTGGTCTTAAGCAGAGATGGGAGACTGGAACAGAAAGATGATAATCGTAGTCAGGCAAGCCGAGGTCAGTGGGAAGGAGAAGCAGCAAAGTCAAAACAGTCCAAATTCAGCAACAGGAAGGAGAAACAGGAACACGCTGGATTAGAGAGTACAGGAACCACAATAATCTGGCAAAGGTACAGAGACAGGAAGTGGCTTTTATAGGCCAAGAACCAGACACCTGACCAGACACAGCTGAAGAGAGTTGTCACTGATAACTTGATGGTATCAGATCTCAGGTAAATTTGCAAAAGGCAGGCTGGTGTACTGGTAATGAAAAGGTTTAGCACCATGTAAACCAGGGTTCGAAACCCAGCAGAGTCAGTTCCTCACAACCTCCCTCTACTGTAATGTAACCTGTAAAGTGCTGAGTATACCTGTTAGCGCTACATAAATATAATATACATACACTGTATACCTACTGCACTTACTGTACCTCCCTCTACTGTAATGTAACCTGTAAAGTGCGGAGTACACCTTGTAACGGATACCTCCGTTGAAGGATGCTCCTAGCGCTTCCTGAGGGCTCCAAGCACTTCAGCCGACACCATAACCACCGTAGACTCCTTCAGAGAGCAAGACAGGAACAAGCTCTTACAAGAGCTCAGTGATTATAGCAAGGGAATATGCAGAGCATAGCAATCCCTTGTAGCAGATTCCCCCAATAAGAGACAGGACTCAGATTGAGGGTGAAGTAGAACTGACTGTACTGGCACATACAGCCTCTTTTATTCACATTCTACAAACATAGTACTGCCCACAGGTTTTTGCAGAACAACCAATCAATACGTAGAATACACTCAGACACTCCCACACAAAATCCTCTCCTCTGCCTGTGATATAATTACTGAACACAATGGTCTAACTTAATTATCACAGGCAGGAAAATACACAGTTTTACACAATATTCATAACTCTAAAAGTATACATCACATTCACATAAATTATGTGAAAACTTACATTTTCAGAATCAGCATACTCCAAATACAAACATACATCAAAATCATACAAATTGGTCCAGTGGGTCAAAAGTTAGTTGAAAGTCCCTTTGTGACCATCTGCAAGCATGGCTTGGGTGTTGTAAGCCAATTACCTCCAGCATACAGAAAATGGCTCTATTCACAACAGTAAAAACACATAAAAATACATAATTCCTATTATACTTAACAGAACCCCCACATTCAACCTGTGGCGGAACCAACCTCGCCACTATGCACTGGAGAAGCCTGGTTGCTCGCCTGCTCCCTTTAGACTATGGCCCTGCAGTTCAGACCTGTTATTTTCCCTGCTGAAAGGTTTATTCGTGCCTTTCTTCTGGGGTGTTCGGTAGATTCAATCTACCGAACATACTACCGAACGATGGACCGCCTGGGAACTGGAGTGTGCCGTCATTTGACCGCCCAGAAGCTGCGGTTAACCGCAGCTTAATTGATGAACGCTGGGTAGCCTTTGTTCGGTTGCCGAACACGTGGCAGCGGCCATGTTACCTCCCGAACGGCCAGCGGTGTTCAGCGCCCAAACTATGGAACTGAAAATGGACACTTATTGGCGTGAACACCGCTGAGCCGCCAGCCTCCTTACCTTCTCATTCGGTAGCAGAACTGAATGACTGTTCATTCGGTAGTTTAACCGGATGAACAGCATCACCCCAGATAGCTAAGCCATGGAGCCTATTCGTGTAACGAAAGACTATGTGAAAGACTTTTGGCTCCATGGCGATTGAACTGTATGCAGGTGATCTGAGCACCATTCAGTAGTAATGTGCGCTCAGATCTAAGCTATCTGGGGAAATGTAGAATGTATATGTTTTATGTAATTTTATGTCTTTTACTGAAAATGTGTGTAATGGAGTTTTGCCTCTGTCCTTGGAGGGACAGAGAGGAGGGATTGTGATGCATTGTGGGATTGTTGAAATATGTAAGTCTCTGATTGGTTCTTGTACCCTTTGTGTCCCAGTCTCCCATCTGGTCCCCTAGGGGAGTGTCCACCAGGTGGGAGACCTGCATAAAAGCCGGGCAGTTATCCCCAGTAAACCAGATTCTGATTGACCCTAAAAAAACGAAGTGTCGTCTCGTCTTTTTGGGGGGGGAGGGGGGAGATTTACTGTTTGCTGTTAGAGACTGATTGCCAGGAGTGTAAGCCGCTTGGTGCTTTTCCTGTTCGTCTGCTAACAGCTATTCGTGTGTCTCCAGTTCGGGAGTTTGGAGTGCTACTTGGTATGCAGTTCGGGAGTTTCGAGTATTCCCTTGGTTACAGTTCGGGAGTTGGTGAATTCATGGATTTGAGTTCGGGAGATTGGTGCTTGCAGTAGCTGTCTGTGCATCTGAAAAAGGGGAATATCGCCTAAACGGTTTTTAACCTCTTGTATGTAAAATGGTCCTTACACAACCTATCCCAAGATAGCTTGGATCTGAGCACTCACTATATCCGAACCGCGCTCAGATACCACAAACACAGTCAAATCGCCATGGGGTTAAGACACAGCAAAAGCTGATGAGAGACCGAGGAGGGGCAAAACAGCAAGTTCCAACTGGTCTTGCAGTGTGCCTGGGACAACGCCCTGCTGGAGAACAATAGACAGGGAATGGGGGAGGGGAAGAGACACATCTTCCCATGGATTCAAATGGGCAGAAACAGTCTTTAGAAGCCAATAAGCCCCAAATAGTCTTTTTAAATGGCAATACACCCCAGGGCCGTAGTCATGAGGGAGGAGGCTGGCAATCAGGCTCCTCCAACAGCCAGGGGCAAAGGACAGTTGGTCATGTAAATATCCAGTGACAAAAGTCATTTTGTCACACACCTGTTAGTGCTATGTAAATAATATATACATACACTGTATACCTACTGCACTTACTGTACCTCCCTCTACTGTAATGTAACCAGCAAAGTGCTGAGTACACCTGTTAGCGCTATATAAATAAAATATACATACACTGTATACCTACTGCACTTACTGTACCTCCCTCTACTGTAATGTAACCTGTAAAGTGCAGAGTACACCTGTTAGCACTATATAAATAAAATATACACACTGTATACCTACTGCACTTACTTTACCTCCCTCTACTGTAATGTAACCTGTAAAGTGCTGAGTACACCTGTTAGCGCTATATAAATAAAATATACATACACTGTATACCTACTGCACTTACTGTACCTCCCTCTACTGTAATGTAACCTGTAAAGTGCTGAGTATACCTGTTAGCGCTATATAAATAAAATATACATACACTGTATACCTACTGCACTTACTGTACCTCCCTCTACTGTAATGTAACCTGTAAAGTGCTGAGTATACCTGTTAGCGCTGTATAAATAAAATATATTTTCAGCTTCATTAATAAAACTCACTGGGGTGCAGGTCACAGCTGAGGTGTCTGTGCAGTTTATCCTCTAATTTCAGGTACAGGGTAAGCTGGGGAGAAAGACAAAGCAGGGGAGTCACATATCAATGGATTACAGCTGCCATACAGGTCACAAGCACAGATTGTTAAAAAACCTGAATAGCAAAGAGTCATAAGATTTATGAGAGTTATATAGAATAATAGGAGGAGTTATAGGGAGTAATAGGAGGAGTTATATGGAGTAGTAGTAGGAGTTATATGGAGTAATAGGAGGGTTATATGGAGTAATAGGTGGAGTTATATGGAGTAGTAGGAGGAGTTATAGGGAGGGTTATATGGAGTAATAGGAGGAGTTATAGGGAGGGTTATATGGAGTAATAGGAGGGGTTATAGGAGGGGTTATAGGGAGAGTTATATGGAGGGCTATATAGAGTAATAGGAAGGGTTATAGGGAGTAACAGGAGGGGTTATAGGGAGGGTTATATGGAGTAATAGGAGGAGTTATATTGAGTAGTAGGAGGAGTTATAGGGAGGGTTATATGGAGTAATAGGAGGGGTTATAGGGAGAGTTATATGGAGTAATAGGAGGGGTTATAGGGAGGGCTATATGGAGTAATAGGGAGGAGTTATAGGGAGGGTTATATGGAATAATAGGAGGGGTTATAGAAAGGGTTATATGGAGTAATAAGAGGAGTTATAGAGAGAGTTACATGGAGTAATAGGAGGGGTTATAGGGAGAGTTATATGGAGTAATAGGGGGAGTTATAGGGAGTAATAGGAGGGGTTATATGGAGTAATAGGAGGAGTTATAGGGAGGGTTATATGGAGTAATAGGAGGGGTTATAGGGAGAATTATATGGAGTGATAGGAGGAGTTATAGGGAGAGTTATATGGAATAATAGGAGGAGTTATAGGGAGGGTTATATGGAGTGATAGGAGGGGTTATAGGGAGAGTTATATGGAGTAATAGGGAGGGTTATATGGAGTAATAGGGAGGGGTTATAGGGAGGGCTATATGGAGTAATAGGGAGGAGTTATAGGGAGGGTTATATGGAGTAATAGGAGGGGTTATAGAAAGGGTTATATGGAGTAATAAGAGGAGTTATAGAGAGGGTTACATGGAGTTATAGGAGGGGTTATAGGGAGAATTATATGGAGTAATAGGGGGAGTTATAGGGAGTAATAGGAGGAGTAATAGGGAGGGTTAAATGGAGTAATAGGAGGAGTTATAGGGAGGGTTATATGCAGTAATAGGAGGGGTTATAGGGAGGGTTATATGGAGTAAGAGGAGGAGTTATAGGGAGGGTTATATGGAGTAATAGGAGGAGTTATAGGGAGGGTTATATGCAGTAATAGGAGGGGTTATAGGGAGGGTTATATGGAGTAAGAGGAGGAGTTATAGGGAGGGTTATATGGAGTAATAGGAGGAGTTATAGGGAGGGTTATAAGGAGTAATAGGAGGAGTAAAAGGGAGGGTTACATGGAGTAGTAGGAGGAGTTATAGGGAGGGTTATATGGCGTAATAGGAGGAGTTATATAGATGGTTATATGGAGTAATAGGAGGAGTTATAGGGATGGTTATATGGAGTAATAGGAGGAGTTATAGGGGGTTATATGGAGTAATAGGAGGAGTAAAATGGAAAGTTATCTGGAGTAATAGGAGGGGTTATAGGGAGTAATAGGAAGGTTTATAGG